GTTGATGTCATTTGCAAAGAAAGGAATCAGAGATTCAGGTAAACATCCAATTTTTTATGTAGAGTTTCAAATGATGTTTCATTTTGAAATATTCACGAAATAGTTTCTGGTCGTTCAAAACTACTTTTCTCGTATTCTCAAGAAATCGTCTTGCAAATTAGTTACATGACTGTTCAATACATGGCTGATTGGAGGCTGTACTGATGATTCCCGCTTCTATCGCATGCAAAGTTTGGCCGGTGTTTACAGCTAAGGAATGAAACACAGGCAGGCTGTATCGTAAAATGTCTTCTTACACATGACATTTAAATTTAGTCTCTCTGTTCTACTGTTTTATACTTTGCAAGCGACACGGAAACATGAAACTAGCAGTTTAGTGGCAACAGCTCTCTGGTGACTGTGTTATTACTAGTCGGAGGGCTATTAAAGAAATAAGTTGAGCTGCCAAAGTTTATTGTTTGGTTTTCCAATACCATTTCCTTTTAAAATAAGTTGCTGCAGGCACACACACTACACGCATACACACACAAACACACACACACACGCGCACGCACATACATACATATACAAACACACACACACGCACGCGCACGCACACACGTACAGACACATACACACACAAACGCGTACACACAAACGCACACACACACGCACATACACAGACAACCCGGTGACAATTTGCGTCTTGTGGAGCTGCTGCACAGCACAAAACGCATAATAAATCAGGAATTGGTAATGCAGACAAAACGTACTAGCGGGCTTAAGTTAGCTCTTCGAGTTGTTGCTCAACAGCGACAATCTTTGGTTTGCTTTCTGTCCGATTATGATTTTGAGGTGCTTGAATTTTGTGATACTTGTTGCTTACCGCTTTATCGAATTGTTTTTTTCCAGGAAAACAAAATGAAGGAGCGAGAAGAGAGGTCAGTTTATTTAGCACAGATATTGATGCTTTGCTGGGAAAGCGCCCGCAAATAGGCGGCTTGGATGATTTCAAAAGCGTACAGGTTTATAATAATATTGCATAAAATAATACTGTACACATGCAAGTATTTTTAGCTTAGAAACATACACTACTCTGGTGTTTCTTTTGAGTAACACCGTTGATTCTTGAACTTTCTGCGATGTGTAAATCATTGCGGTCTGCTAAATTTGCTGCTTCTACGACCAGCAGCGGTGAAAAACTTCGATTTTATTGGGAATCTGCCAACACTGGCGAATCCAGAGAGGGGGGGGGGGGGGAAGCAAGGG